CGCCGCCCGGACGGGCCCTCGCCGGCGATGGCGCCGCCTACGCGGATGGACGGAGCGGCCGACGGCGGGAGGAGACGGCCGGGGGGCCAGGGGCCCAGAGAAGGAGGCTGAGGTGCGGTGTCCGCGGCTGGCGCTTTCGAGGGGTGGGCGTGGGGGGATGCGGGATCTCCCTCCCGGGGGCCCCTGGCGTGCTTCAGTAAAGCTGTCCACTCTCCGCGGCCCCCTGGCCCAGAGCCCCGGCGGGTGAGGTGGTAGCACCAAGCCTTCGCTGTCGAGCTGGGCAAATGGAGGGCGCGCAGCTCCCGAGGGGGACTCGAGGCAAACTTAGCAGCGGAGCCTGCTGCGCTGGTGCGGCGTCCCCACCCTCACCTCCACTCTTTTCCGGGTCCCGCGGGGCTGTAGGAAGTCTTGACCTAGAGGCTGCTGCTTTCTGGCATCGCAGAGCTCCGTACGTTCAGGAGGGCAGAATAACGAGGTCCCAGGATAGGGACCAGCACAGACTTGGGTGGCTGGAGTTCTCCTCCTCTGAGCCCCTATTTCCCTTCAAGGGAGAGGGAGGCCCAGAGAGGTCGAGGATTTGCCCCCATCATACTTAGGCCTTCTGCTTAGGCTACAGCCTGAGAGAGGATGGGGTGTTTAGCACCTGCTCACCTGACCCCCAGCCCCCCAACCTGGCTCTTAAGATGGCTCTCTCGGGGTGCAGCTGGGGATCAACCTTTAACAACCCCAAGGGAGCAGATGTGGCGTCAGATTCCAGAAGGGGAGGCCTTAAAGGGCCAGACTAGAAATACAGTACGCGGCTTCCTGTCCGGGGCGCCTCAGTCCTCCCTTCTTTCCCCCACTCAGCTGAGTGGCCTGGCCGCCACTGCTCATGGCGAACTGCGGCCTCACCTAACGGTGTGGAGGGAGTGTCACCTCTGGGGGGGGGGGCTGGCGGAGTTAACACAGGGCAGAGGTATCCTCCTCCACCTAAATCGTGGAGGTACTTTTCTCAGACCTAAAAATAGTCAGTGCTTCTGCTTAGGGAGCCAGGAGTTCATTTAAAGTCCTTATTTTACAGAAGAGAGAAGGGATTTATCAAGGTCACGTGCCAGGGAGGGACAGAAGCAGGTCCCAGGCCTGTGTGTGGCCTCGCCATGACACGGGAGGCCTGGGCCTGGGCCTGGGCGAGCTGGCCTCTGGACCCATGTACTGTGTGACCTTGAACCACTCTGCTCCCTCTCTGGGCTGCTTTCTTCCGTCTTTCTCCCATCTTAACATGGCTGCCCCTCCTGTCAGGGCTTAAGAATGGAATGAAAGGGGAAGGTGATAATGGCACAGGATTCTGGTCTAATCTTGAGAGCCCAGAAGGAGGTGAGGTACATTGTGACGGGCAGGGGCCCTCAGCTCCCCGTCCCCCTCAGCCCTTCCTCTCCCCAGGTACCAGACTTTTTGGTGGGTTTCTCTGCTATCACTCAGGTCTTCTTGAGCCCCTCTTGGCTGGGGAAGGGAAGTCCAAGAGGAGGTCTCAGAGCTCCTGAGAAAGCTCGGGGACCAGGGGGCCAATAGGGAGGCTCTGGAATTCTCTGGCCAAAGCTGCTCAGGTCATTTGGAGTACAGGACTTCCTAGAGGTGACAGTGAGGGGGAGCTCAGGCCGCAGCGCTGGGCTGCAGCCAGGACTGCTTGGTTTCTGGGTTGCCAGGGAGGGAACACTTGGTCCAGGGAAGCTTTTAGCTAATGGCATAAAGTGCTTTGTGCCATCACAGTTTTGCCTTTCTCTGGGATTTATTGGTAATCTGCTTTGTCCTGATGTGGGGATTGGTAGGTAGAGAATTAATGATGACACTTTTACGTGTATGTATGGGTGTACGTGGAGATCGGTCCTGGTGTCACAGGCAGCTCTGTCCTGTCCCTCCATTTCCTCCCTGCACTTCCAGATGCCCCGCCACTCCCTACCCGGCACCTAGGCCAGGGCACACAGAGCTCAGTGACTTCCCTCCCTGCTTCTTAGTGTGCTGTCCTCAGCCAACTAGCAGCTCACCTTCCCATTTCTGCCTGGCCTACTCAGGGCCCCCTCTGGAAGGTCCCCAGCCTTGTTCCATATTCTCAATTAATAGATATTAATTATTGACTCAGTCCAGGGTTCTCAGAGAGAGACCTGAATCAGAGTCTTTGCCCTATCCCTTTGGTAGTGAGAATTGAATTTGGGGCCTTCACAGTGAGCTAAAGTATTTACTTTGAGATGGGGTCTTGCTAAGTTGTCCAGGCTGTATGTCTTACTATACCCGGTGGGTCTCTATTTTTGAGGATATATATCATCCAGGCTTCCTCCAGGCAGCCTTCCCTGGCTATCATCACCCAAGGGGACCCTTCAAGCTGGGCAGTCTGTACTTTTTTTTTTTTTTTTTTTTGGTCTTTTTGAGAAAGGGTCTCGCTGTGGAGTTCAGACTGGACTTGAGCTCGCTTTGTAGCCCAGGCTGATTTTGAACTCACAAGGGATCCTCCTGCCTCAGCCTCCCGAGTGCTGGGATTACAGGCGTGCACCATCACACCCGGTTCAAGGGCAGTCTGTATTGTTGTAGGGATTTTTTTAGACCTCCACTAATAACTGTGGTCCCTGAGTGGGAGACAGACCCTCCTTCCTCCAGCCCCCATGACTTCCTGAACCTTTCTTGATGGCCCCCAGCCATGGCGACTGGTCTGAATACAGGGATCTTGGAGTGGTAGGGACAGTGAATCTGGGCTTTCAGCAAAGGGATATGAGGGGAACAGGCACCTTTCTTCAGGTTACGGCCTGGAAGAACAGCTCAGGGTTCTACCTTGGAACCTGCCGCTCCCTTGGACGAGCTCCTTCCCTCCCTTGGCTGGCCCCAGCAGTATGCGAGCAATGCCAGCAGGGGGCAGTGTGGAGCTGCTTCGCGAAACCTGTGGGCGTGGTCTGGAGTGGGCTCGGTCTCCAGTGGCCCCGCCCCATCCCACTTCTGCTCAGTAGTCTAGAGGCTTCCTAGGCTTTGAGCGGCGAGGCTGACGCAGGTGACGGCTTTTTGGGTGGGCGGGGCAGGAAGCCCAACCTGCACCCATCACTGGTTCCCTGGAGGCCAGAGCCCACGTGGAGAAGGGGAGCTAAGGTGGTCCCGGGCCTCCGGGAGAAGGTCCATTAGGAAAGACCTCGTGGAAAGAGCGGTTACCACTGTCAAAAGCTCGGTCATTTCGCTATTCGCAGATGTTACACTGACAGGTGATCGGAACGCCGGGCCCCGCCATCACCTGGCGGCTGAGCTGGCTTCCTAGAGATGAGGTTCTCAAAGGACAGGTGCTGCCAGCCTGCTTGAAGTGGGCAGCATCCCGGGGGGCTTCCCTGGCCTGATCCCTTGAGCAGGGCTCAGGTGCCCAGGAGTCTCAGCCATAGAAGAGACTCCCTGCTTTGTGGCTTGCCGGGGAGGAAGTACTTGGGAAAGCTTGGACAGTCCCAGCCTGTTTCTTCTTCCATTAGTCCCTGACCGCACCCTGGCCGGGAGTAATGACAGAAGGGAAGCCTTAGTTCTGGGATAATACACGAACCACCTCCTCCCTGCCAGGCATTGTGCTAAGCACTTTACATCATTATCTGTTTTGTTCTCCTAACCACTTTGCAAAGTCAGGGTTATTATCCCCATTTCAACACAGGAGGAGGCTGGGGTCAGGCAGGGCAGAGGACTTACCCAATGACTGAGGACCTGTCAGTGAAGCCTTGAGCAGTAGGCTCTGAGGTGCCATTCGCATTGATGAGGGCTCCACTAGAGAGGACCTCTGGGCTGTCACCATTAAGGCTGTGCATAGTGACCCCTGCTCCTTAGTTCTGGGGGAGAATGTGATGAGATGCTGGGGTGGGCAGAGCAGCAGAATGTGCCCTGCACCCCCTAGGTCTGGGCACAGCTTTGCCTGGTTGCCTGGCTTCTGGGGGGTGAGTCAGACTGAGTCACCACACCTGGCCTGGGCCAAGGATGGCTCAGGGCTTCAAGCAGGCAGGGCCAGGGCTTGCCTTGGGGGGCTGCCTCGTCTCCTGGCAGGTCTGGCCTGGGATGTTTGGTGCCAAGGAGAGAAAAGAGTGTGGGACGGCAGGAGAGAGGGGTGACAGGTTCCAGAGTGAGCAGAAAGACTTGCACATTGTAAGGACACAGACCTGAGATTTGGTCTTGGCTTGGAACTTAGCTGGGGGACCTTGGGCAATGACTTCCTTTTTCTGAACCAGTTTCTTATATTTGTTTTTGCATTTAGGGGCAGGAGAGCTGAGTGGGAGCTAACTTCTGAGTACTGATGAGAGATCCCACTCAGTGTTCCCTAGTGGAGATCTGAGAATGAGGGAGCCACTGTGCTGGCCAGGACCGGCTGCCAGCACAGCCTCTCACCAGCGGGGTGGTGTGGGCCTGACTTGGGTAGAGCATGGCCATATCAGGATCCCTGGACCGGTCCCTGCCCACTGTGGGCCGTGGGGAACTCCATAAGGGGAGAGATGGAGGAGGGGCAGGCTGTTCATCCCAAGAACATTCCATTCCATCTGTGCAGACCGGTGGGGATCCCAGCCAAGGACAAAGACCCAAGGGAACCTCTGCTTCCCCCTGGAGCCCCGTTCCATAATGTTGTGTCTTGTACAGGCTCCCACCATGGCCCCTCTCAAAGAGGTGGGTGTTGAAGAGTTTGGGTGGGGCTGGATGGCTATGGGAAAGAGGCAATTAAAGCTCTTGGAATCGTTCTTTCCAGCTCCTCCTAACTCTTCAGAGCCTCCACTGTATGGATCTGGACTCCTGGATTCTGCTCCTTCCCTGGACTCCTTCAGGAAGACTCCGAGAATTGGCCCTATGTGGCCTCAGCTCCCCCTTTGTGGAAGCACTCACCTCACAGTGGCAAGGGGCTGGCTTCTGGGGAACACTATGAATTTTTATGCCACATTTGACGTTGCTTACACCGTACGGCTGGAGATGTTACCACAAGGCCGAGAAACAGTCAGATTATTTGAGAGGGAAGGAAACATTTCCATCGTGACAATGAAAAGGGTCTCGTTTAGAGAGAGTCATCATTCTTAAGTCAGTCTCGGCACAGCTGGAGCCCACATTTTGGTAGATGTCATTGCTTCCTAGTCTAATGGTGCCAGGAGGCCTGTTTGAGGGAACACATTAAGAAACAGTTTCCTCACCTCCTGTCCTTGTTCTCCCCACGAGGGGTGTGCCTGTGGCCTCCCCACAGACAATCATCTGCTGCCTCCTGCGAGGGGGCACGTCTCTTCTCAGGAAGAGGTGGTGGCAACATAAAACTTCCAAGCAAAGTTTGAAGTGCAAAAAGGAAACACATTTATTCAAGTATCCTGATAAAGAGGGAAGGGGACGCACTTACACACACACGTAACCCAACACTTGTAGACTTGTGCAGAGCAAATGTATACTGACCCTGTGCCCTGACATACATTCAGGAAGAATAAATTTCAATCATGTAAGACGGAAGTACTGGTTTTTGAGGTTCACTGTGCACATGGTCTTGCCTTTCGTGTCTGTCACAGCTCTTTCAGTCGACAGTTCCTGGGGAAGCTTCCGTTTTGGCGACCTGGGCCTGTCGACTGGCCTGGAGACTGAGTTCTCCCTCGACCTGACTCACAGCTGGTCTTCCTGGGGAGCCCCCTGTTACAGGATGTGTCAGGAACCTCAGGAATGGTCATGCACATCTGAGACTGTGACCCCTGGACGGGTTTTTGTCTTTTTTTTTTTTTTTGGTTTTTCTCCAGTACCGGGGACCGAACTCACGACCTTGCGCTTGCCAGGCAGGCGCTTTTGCCGCTGAGCTAAATCCCCAGCCCCTGGGTTTTTGTCTTTTTGTACTGGGGTTTGAGCCCAGTGCCTCACCCATTCGAGGCAAGTGCATTAGCATTGGACCACCGCCCTGGCCCTAACCATTGTGCTAAGGTGGCAGGCAGCGTGACAGCCTGTGGGGGCTGTGGCTGTGGAGACTGGCTTGTCCCTCGTGGTCTAGGTAGGAGACAGGGAACACACGTGCTGGGAGGGATTTTGAAAAGGGACTGTTTGCAAAGGTGTGTGGGCTTGGGCTCAAGAAACTAACCAATGGGCTGGTGGATAGCTCAGCGGCAGAGCACTTGCCTAGCACACAGGAGGCCGTGGGGTCCCACCCAGCACTTCGGTCTCCAAGGGTGGTGAGGCTTTTCAGTTTCGGGGCTTGGAGGGTGGGGTGGAGGGGCAGGCAGCTGTGGAGAGGGCTGCTGCCAGAACAGTCCTTCCTTTGGGGGATGTGGTCAAACTTCATAACCAGGCGGATGGGAGCAGGGAGGATAAACTCCTCCTCCTCCTTTCAGTCTGATTGCAAACACGGTGGGAAGCCAGGGAGCCCTCAATATCCTCAGAGATGTCCGTCTCCGGGGCGCAGCCTGCAGAAGGCTGGAGAGGGTCTGCAGGGGCAGCAGACCACGCAGCTGTGCGGAGTGCCTTTCCCTGAGGTCCGCTGAGCTGCTGCTTCCCCTCTGGGGGCGGAAGAGTAGGTGAGGAATTTGGTTTTGTTTTTTTTTTTTTGTACCGGGACTTGAACTCAGGACCTTGTGGTTGCCAGGCAGGCGCTTATGCCACTGAGCTATATCCCCGGCTCTAGGTGAGGAATTTGAAGGGGGAGGACAGGGCTTTCTTCCCTCAGCTGTCCCCAAAGTCACTCCAACTCCCAGTTCCTGATTCCTGCCTGTCTTGGCATCTTAGGTGGCTGCAGGAATTGTCCACAAGAGAGCAAAGTCAGCCACTGAGTCAGTGTTTTTCTCACTCCCAAAGCACCACGCCACTCCCAGACACACCCACAGGCATGCAGTTGCCACCACAGGCCCAAGACAGTCACCACAGGCCATGCCTACTGTCACATAGACGTGGAGACAGTGTACCTCTTGGTACATGACTATACTCAGCCAGTCATATATAAAATGACAAATGTCATAGTGATGTCAAAAATGTCCTGCCACAATGTACGGGAGGTGTACTGTCACAGTCATCCACAAGAAGTCATAGTGCAGGGGACAGGATGTTACAAATCTCCTTGATGTCTTTGGCCTCAGTTTTCTCATCTGTAAAGTGGAAATAATGGTGTTTTTTGTGGTGTTTTTTCAAGGATGAAATGAGAGAGATCAGGAAGAGCGGAGCATGGTGTCTGGCCCAGAGTAACGCTTGCCAGATGGTAGCTGTGGCTGTAAACTCTCGTCTCACACGCCCCCGCTGCCTCACACCCATGCACATGTGCGCAGAGGCACCCACAGGTGCACGAACATGCACAGGGCCTGCCAGACACCCTCCTGCACGTGTGCCCTCCCTCAGACACGCCTGCCCGGGCATGTGTGGGCTCACAGACAAATCCCTCAGCTCAGAACATTCCCCAGACGTCCACATGGTTCCTGTCCACTCCTTTAAGACTTCACACAGATGTTTTTTTTTTTTTGTCTTTTTGAGACAGGGTCTCGCTGTGCAGTCCAGGCGGGCCTTGAGCTCACTTTGTAGCCTAGGCTGGCCTCGAACTTGCGGCAATCCTCCTGTCTCAGCCTCCCGAGTGCTAGGTTACAGGCTGCGCCACCACGCCCGGCCCAGAGGGCTTCTTTCAGGGAGGTGCACCCTGCCTTTTTAAATTTGCAAACCTGTCCACTTCCTGTCCCTTTCCTTGTTATAAGTACTTTTATTCATTGGCAACCTTCTAAGCCCACCTGATCTATTTTGTGTGCCCCAGTAGAATGTAGTCTTCACAAGGGTAGGCCTGTCTTCTGTTTGTTGATGTATTCCCAATACCTAGTTTAGTAACTGGCACCTGGTGGGCTGGCTGCTGTGTACACACACACACACACACACTCTGGATTTTCAGTTTTCTGGAGCCCTTCAAACAAGCACAGGCAGCCGCTCTCCACCCCATCCCAGTAAGCAGGGCCTGCTGTGTTTACACCTCACACCTAGGCTCCAATGGCCAAAACGGGTGGAACAAACGTTGTTCTTCCCAGAACCCCAGTTGGGTCAGCACAGTTGGGATGGGGGTAGGGGACAGTTTTTAATAACCAAGCAAGAAAAGCCTTTCCAGTCACCCTTCCAGCCACTCAGAGCCCAGTAGTAGAAGGGATTGGGGCACCCAGCAGGGACCCACGGAGCAGGTGAGGTGGCTGGACTCATCCTGATGACCTGAGACCTCCTCTGCAGCTTTGTCTTTCCCACCCTGGTCAGAACCATCAAAGTCACCACTTCAGAGGCCCCTAATGAGGCCCCTAAGTTAAGAGCTTTGCAATCCTTGGATCAAAGAGGCAGGGTAAACAGTGGGCAGCGTCCTGGGTGAGTGACTGATGCCCCGAGGGAATAGCTCCTGAAGGGCTTGTGGCTGGCACTCCCAGACAGCCTGGCATGGCCCCTTCTGGGCTCACAGAGGCCTGCTCCTTCAGGGGACCAGCTTACAGTGAGTCAGAGCACACGCGAGGAAGCCAGAGGATCAGGGAGCCTCTCCCAGGTAGCAAGGCCTGGGCTCTGGCTCTGGAGGACCCCAGAGGTCCCCCTGTCTCAGATGCCATTACTGGTCTGGATACACCCTGCTTGTTCCCCACCTGCTCCCCTGCGGTGAGGTAGGGTGGGCAGAGCTGGAATGAAGCAGCCCCAGGCACTGGGAGGGTGAGGCTAGGTCTGGGGCTACTAGCACCTCAGGTAGCAAGCCTGGGGACATGGAAATATGTCCTCTTCAATAAGAGTCCTAGGCTTGCTGAGGCAACGTGCAGGCGCAGGTCACACTGTAGACACAAGCTCCCAGCTGATAGCTGTCAGGTCAGGATGATAGGAGGGAGGGAGGCGCTGTCTCACAGCCATGCCCAGACCTCAAGCCCCACCCTGAGTCCACTTCCTATTATTAAAGCCAGACTCAGACTGGGATGACAGTGGCAGCCCCACAGTCTTGGAGGAGGGTCTTTCTTCCAAGAGAAAGCATGCTACCAGGCTCAGTGTAGGGAGTCTTTATTGACAGGTGGTGCAAAATAGCAAATCTAGAGCAACGGGAAAGGAGGTGGGGCTATGCGCCCCTCCCCCATGTGAAAGTCCTACATCCAAGCCAATGGGGCAGGAGTACTGGACTTGACTGGCAGATTTGGACCCAGCACCCTCTGAAGGACACGCTCCCAGGCACCAGAGCTCCTCACGCCTGCAGGGGAGGGAGCAACACACTGGCAGGGTGTGAGCTGGATCTCACCCTGGCTGCTTGGCTCTTGTGCCCTGCACACCTCCACCCCTCAAGAGGAAAGCTCCCCAGCTTGGAGTACAGGTTTCAGAATGGGCTAAACCCATCCCTCCCCAAACTCGAGGAGCTGCCTCGTGCCTCAGTTTCCCTCTTCCCAGTGATTAGTCGGGCTTGACCTCCGCACTCTGCCAGTGGTCCAGCCAGACCCAAAGTGAGTAGTCTCTGTCACATTCTATATTTTAGCCAGTGCCTTGGGGGCTGCTAGGATAACTGTGGGCTGACATAGTCTAAAAGACCCTTTCTAGGCCATGAAAGTCAACTGAAGATGCAGGGCACTGAGGTGACCGTCCAGGCTTGGATGGCCTCCTGAAGGCCACTCCTCCTCCAGACAAGTAACCCCTGTACCCCACAACCGTGCTGGCCCGAGTGTAGTGCAATGACCAAAGGGTCCTCCTGTCAAGAGCCTCGCTTGACCTTCAACCCACAGAAGCCTCACTCAGGGAAGTCTGATGTGTTCAGGTGAAGGCCCGACCCTGCAGCAGAGCTGGGCCAGCTGGCTCCGGCTGCCTGTCTCTGGTCATATCCTCTACACCCTCCTGGTGACCCCAGCCCATGAGGCCTGGTCCCTTCCGGCCAGGGTCTGAGTCAGTTGCAGGGCAGCCAGGTGGGATAGGAGTGGGCCCGAGCCAGCAGAGGCTGCACGGGGGTCACGTAGTAACTGACAGTGGCCGGCACAAGCCCGTCAGCACCCGGGGGGCACCAGGCCAGGGCAGCAGTGGCAGCCGGGCCCTGCTCAGCCAGTGCCTGGAGCGCCAGTGTGGCAATGAGGTCCAGCGTCTGGCGGCGCTCATGGTTCATGAGGCACACGGTGCTCTCGTTGACCACCCTGTGCAGTGTCACCAGGCAGGCGTACCGGCGGGCGGTGTCGCCCTCACCGAAGTGTGCCTCCAGGTAGCGCTCCAGAGTGCGCTGCTGCTCTGCCAGGTCGGGAAAGTCGATGAAGAAGCGGGAGCACATGTACCGCTGCAGGGCGCGCACGTCAGTGCTGGGCCGGGGCCGGAAGCCCCGCACGAGGAGATGGCAGTACTTGAGGAGGCCACCGCCTCGGATCTCCTCAGGGCTGCGCGTGGCGATGACACGGTGCTGCAGGTGCTCCAGGGCCTCGGCAAAGTCCCCATACAGGCTCTCACCTGTCACTGTTGGGTGGAAGGTCTCAGACATGGGCGTAGAGGAGCACTGGCCAAAAAGCAGCAGAGAGTCCAGGATGATC